ATTATTATTATTATTATTATATGCAAGAAATCTGCCAGGCCTTTGTTTTTGTCTCCAGCTGCTTGTTTATTAAAGATGGTGCTAAAGTAAAGACTATCACCATTTTTTTCTACTTAGGATCATGGGGGTTGTAATCTTTGTGTGCAGAAACCCCTGAGTTCTATTCTCAGCCTCTCAAGACAGAGTCAGGAAAGTAGCTAATGATGGGAGAAAGGCAGGATATAAATAAATTAAATAATAAATAAATCCTGGAAAGGAGCTGTCAGTTAGTCACAAATGTGCTTGTTGTGTTCCTTCAAGTTGTTTCTGATTTATGAAGACCCTAAAATGAACCTACCATGGGGTTTTCTTGGCAAGATTTGTTCAGAAAGAGTTTGCCATTGCCTTCCTCTGAGGATGAGAGAGTGTGACTTGCCAAAGGTCATCCAGTGGGTTTCCATGGCCAAACAGGGATTCGATCCTTGGTCTCCAGAGTCATAGTCATAGTCCAATGCTCAAACCAATATGCCACACTGCCTCTCACTAGTGATAATGGGTTAGATAGACCAATTATCTCTGCATAATGCCACTTCCAAGTGTTGTGATGTTCCCTTCTTTCTATCTTCACAACAACCCTACAAACTACATCAGACTGAAATAGTGACTAGCTTAAGGTCACTATGGGGCTAAAAAATAAAATTAAACAATATAGTTTAAAACAATACAGCACTCTTTTACAATCCTTCTGTTTTAAAAACTTGTCTGAATAAAAAAAAACTTTACTTTCCAACACAAGGACAACAAGGAAGGAGTTATTCTAGCTTCCTTAGGGAGGAAGTTCCAAAGTGTAGGGGCAGCTACCAAGAAGGCTCTCTGTTGTGTTCCCACCACTCATACCGGTGACTGAGAGAATTGAAAAAAACGAACTGAGAGAAGGATATCTCAGGGTATGAGCAAGTTCATAGCTAAGCCCTGTGGGGCTCACTGGGTCATAACCAGCACTGTAGCCAGGGCAGCAGATTGGTCAAGGAGCATTTTCTTTCTTAGTCCTGTAGTTTCCTCATTCCCATTAAATGCAGTGAGACACAATTATTTGTGTCAAAAGTATTGTAGTTTGAGAGCCTATAAAGCAGGAGAAGGGGACTGGGGGGCTTAGGAGCCTGGAAATACACAGCCATGCCAACAAACACACTGTGGAACACCTTGTTTCAACCCTCACAAATGGCGAGAGAGTTTCCCAATGTTACACTGCAACATGCAGTGGTATAGTCCCACAAGCATTTCCCCTTCCCAAATGGTAAGTGGCATTTTGAGTATATCCAATAGCCTCTCGGCTGCTCTCTTGGGGAGCATACAGTTGCTCTTGAATTATTACCATAGCCTTTCCAAGGCTTAGCATCCTTTGCACTCATAAATCTGGATGTTATCTCAGATGATGAAATTTGTAACAAATTAGTTAACAAATTATGAAATTTGTAACAAAATGTGTTGTGTATCATAAATTTCATTGCAATTTATTTTAACCATGTGTCTTCAAAAATATTTAGAGAATGGAATTATTATATTTATAATTTTTTGTATGTTATTTTTAATAAAAAAAAAAAGCCTAAATCCCACTGCTAAATTCTGGCTCTATGTTTTCAATTCAGAGAGACTTACCCACAAAAAATATGCAGAATTTCTTTAGGTAACAAGGTATTCTGATAAATAGCATTACAAGGTTATGCTTACCAAATGCCAACTGTCACATTCTGCAAATAATCCTGTCTTCCTGGAGACCCCTAACCTTCTACATATAATTCAAGCACTGGTATAAATAATCTCTTTATTCCCTTGTATCCCATCTTCTTTAAAGGCATCAGTAGTATAGTCATGTTTATTTTACATCACCCTTACAACCACCTTATGAAGTAGGTTACATTGAGAGTTAATAACTCTCCCATAGCCATTTGTAGTGGCTGGCCTTCTCAATCAAGTCCAGTACATTGGCCAAGACACCATGCTAGTCAGGATACTCCCTTAGAAAACAGTAGCCAAGTTGTCAGCAATGTCTTTTGTTTGCTTGTTTTTTTGTTCTTGCTTATATGCTCATTTGTTTGTTAGCTTTTTGGCAATGCCATAACATTTAATGAATCTTGAAAAACAGTGCAGCAATGGAGAGAGATCTGACTGATTTCTCCCCAGTATATTATTTTGCAAGTCCTCTGATAGGTGGAAATTGATACAGAAGATAAAACATATTGTTCTTGTTCACTGTTAGCTTGTTGAAAATATTTCAAGCAGTCTTACCTTGGATTTAAGAGCCAGTCACTTTGTTTTTTCTAATGATTGATGAGGCACCTTCATCAAAACCTTCAAGTGAGCCACCAGAGCAGAAAGCAGAAGTCCTCAGAAAATACATTAAAAACAAAGCAAATGGAAACAATATCAAGATTGTCTATTAACTGTCTTTTTAGACCTGGGGGGAGAGAACCGTAGACTGAACACCAGGAATTTTCCAGTAAATAAACATATTTCTAGGGGGATGTTTGAGGCAACAAAGAAAAATGAAAACACAGTTGCTACAAGAGTTAAGCACAGAAAATAGCAGAACTGAAAAATACTTGGGGAGCAAAGAACCCTGAAGTCCTTTGGGGGAGGGGGCTTGGTATTTTATTGAGAAAAGACAACACAGCAGGTGCCAAAGGCAGGAGCTGCATGCCATCAGTCTTCTGAGGCTGTTTGAGTAAGTTGTTTCCTTTTCCAGGAGATCAATTAAAGGTTGCTGAATATAAAAGACTTCCAAGTCCCAGTTATTTGCCACAATCATTCCAAACATGCCCATAATCTAGGGGGAAGCCTTCCTGTGCCACTGAAATGGGGAAGGAAGGCTGCAAGAAACCCTGATCTACAAATATTTATCTGATAGCATCCTTCATCTGCCCCTCCATACCACTTCTCCCCATTGTGGCCTCTTTATATACAGAGGTTCTCTTGGGGGATTATCAGACACAGGTTTTAAATTACAACTATAGTTGTAAAATAGCACCTTTGGCAATACTTATTGGCAATACAACATTTGACATCACCTCCGACCCATAGCTACTGTGTCTGCAATGCATGGCTAGGGGGGCCCTTTTTATTCATGGAGAAAACCTGTTAATAAGCTACCAATCAAGCAGTAGTCCCATTAATCTTTGTGTGTGAAACATCACTACTGCAACAATTGCAATATTTAGCAGTCACGTTGTGTCATGGTCTCATCCTTCCCATCTGCCCTCACCCCCACTTTTCCAACTATCCTAATTTAATTTATTTTTCCTATTTCTTTTTTTTCTTTTAAAACTTAAATCACTTTACCAGAATTACAGAATTATGTTAAAAAGTGAAAATAAAATTAAAAACAAAAGGCATGCTGGGTAGGGAGGCAGGGTTAAGGGAGAGTCTGGAAGACAGCATGATGGCAGAAATAACCCCAGTTTTTTGATTGACAAGACATATGATAATGGCTGGTCACAAACAGGTATATTTCCATTTTATTTAACAAGTGTGTTACAGAGATAATGGGGCTCATGTGATAATGTCATTGGTGAGATGGCTGCAGCCCTCCTTCCTTCAGTCAGAGCTGGGCAGTCATACTCACAGCTACTGCTTACTGTTCTGAAATAGTTCAAGGCTCTTTGGTGAAGCTCAAGTCTTCATTAATTTTGTTGATAATTGTAATTGCCTCTACTGTCTTCTACTTGTATTCCACTCTATCATTCATCCTCCATTTATATGTTATGTTTATATCCTGCTTGTCATCCAATGAACACAAGTGCATATACCCCCTCTCTGGTTTTTCACCTCATATCAACCCTGCTAGGTAGGCTAGGGTGGGAGATCATTACTGGCCCACAATTTCCCAGTGACTTCCTTTACTAAGAGAGAATTAAATCTGGAGCTGCGTCTACACTGCAGAATTATTGTAGTTTGACATTGCTTTAACAGGCATGGCTCAATGCTATGGAATTCTGGAATTTGTAGTTTTGTGAGCTATTAGCACGCTCTGGTGCCACAACAAACTACAAATCTCAGCCCCCAGTTTTGCCCTCCTAGCAACCGTCCTTACAAACTGCTGCTGGTGATGCCATCTCAGTTGATCTGGGCTTTCTTCACCTCTCTGTTTCCAGGTCCTTTACTTACTCTTGGCCCTCCTGCAGAATGGAAGATGTAAGGGTCCACTAAATTTCCCCTCTATTGTTCAATGTCTTTGTGACATTATTATTGGCCATTAGGAACTAGAAACCTTGTTGACCTCACACAATACTTAAAGATATTGCAACACTGGTATTTGCTGGTAGCACTAGCATTTTCCTTTCAGGTAACTGTTGTCTGGATATGAAATAAGGCATTTATTGGAAACCATTTAAGAGGAAGTTCAGTTGGGAAGAGGATGAACTAGCATGTAAAATACTGCAAAATATAACAACTTTTTCAAAGGCTGAGTTACTTCAGTCCTAACTCAGCTGAAGTTGAACATTAAGTATAATGTTTATGTGAAAAATTGCCCATAGATCCATCCTTGTATCTCAATAGCCCACATGAATGACTATGAATACCTTCCAAGAAGACTGATTGTGCTATTGATTACATACTGCCATTTTGGAATCTTGAATGGATGAGTCTGAAGATAAAAGATAACAGATTTAAAAGAAAAATCTTCCAACAACCTAAAAGATCTTTAAAAGAAAAGATCTTCCAGCAACCTAAAAATATATTACATTATAATATATAAGATGTTTTGTTCAGAAACTACAGAGGGAGAATGTTATAGGGTTGCTGTGAAACTGGGATAATCCTCTTTGTGGAAGAAGAGCTTTAAAATATTTATGCTAATACACACACTGTCTGTTCCTGAGCATTGGATTTGTCCAAAATAAATAAGTCAGGTCAAGGGTCCATCAGATAAAGAGTCTCATCTATCTACATCTCCCAACAAAGCAAGGCATATTCACATCACTCTTATTGAAAATTGGCTTAATGAACTTAACACTTTTTTCTATTCCCCATAGGCTAAGAATATATGACACTAAAAGTGTTTTTGCCATTACCATAGTTTTTAAAATCTATATCAACCAATTTAGAAATGCAGTAATTAATTTAAACATAACCAACTCTTCCTAAATGGATTCTACAATTTCTGAGTTTCTTCACCATCACCCTTCCCCTAGAGTGTACCCTTAGCATGCCCTTTACAACATTTCTGGCTATAGGACTGTCATCTGGAGGAAACACACAATGTTTCCAGAAAAATGTTCACACCCACCCACAAAGCTGGGGGATGTTTGGTCATATTAATCTTTCTATCATTGCCCTAGATGCAGCTTTCCAACCTGGATTCAGCATCCTTGAGGGATAAATTACAGGAATATACACATACAGAGAGAGAGAGAGAGAGAGTTATTGGATTTGATAGCATTTAAGAAAATGACAGTCAATTAAAGCTTGATATCAAGGAGAATATGGGTAGTTGGTATGATGTTATCCAAGAACCATCTATCCTACTGCCTGTGTTTC